ACACTAATATAGAGTGCTTGTGTTCAGTTTTTTTACTTTAAAACTAATTTCAATCAATCAACTAAAATAATAGTGTAATAAAGTTATTTAAATGTATCCTACGTTTAGAAGTCATTTATTATTATCACATAATAGGTAGATAATATTATGTTATACGGGCGTGGAGTATTATCAAACAATAATTATTTCTCCGTGCTCAACATGACAAACTGATATATATATATATGGTAACGAATAATAAACTGAACTTTACAAAATTAAGACAAATTTACTTGAAAATGTTGTGTATATTATATATATTATATACACTGGTTGTTAAAAAACCTGCAAGCTACCGGTGCTATTTGTACCTACCCTCTTGCTCGACAATCAGCACCTTACTTGAGCAGTAAGTATATAGCTGGCAGTAGACTATTTCGAAAAAGTCGTTAGGGGAGACATGTGCACTATTATTTCGAGTGCAGCCGTCCCCCCTTCCCAAAAAAACAAGTTTTTCAATTGTGGAAAATAAAGGCCCCGCTGGTTTTACCTGTTTTATAGCCGGGGGGAATTTTTATATTATATATATATATATATCAAAGTTACCTATTATAATATATAATATTATATTGTATTTGTCGTAGGGGACGACGGCGCGGTTGGCACATACACCTTAAATTATATGTGGTGCGGCTGGCTGTTTACAATATTATTTTGGCGGGCAAGTAGTCGAAACGGTTTTTGAAAAAAAAAATTCCAACTGCGCCGCAAACTATAATATTTTCTACACGAGTTTCAACGATATTATTGTTTGGCTGTGTTTATTATATTATATTTTTATCTCTGCAAAGGACCGCAAAGGTACAGCGCAATGTATCCACGGTTAGTGTAGACTTGGAACCGGCTAAAAACGGTAAATGTAACTCAACAATAACAATATATTATGGAAGATTACCAATATTACAATACCTACACAAACGGATAAGACAAACGGTTACCGTATTATACATAATAGCACCTTTATGTATTTTATCTGGAAATGCGCCCGCCACCAACCTATATAATATAGGATCACTATGTATAGGGATTTATAACATGGGATTCCATCGAGCACAAATGATATCCCATATACCTACACCTATACTATTTGCTCGTTCCAGGTGGTACAATAGGACTTGTGCGATAAAAACGACACAATGAGTATACTAGGTAATTACAATACACTAAGATAGGCGCTAAATTATGATGATAAATGATAACACTATCGTGGTCCGATCATAGATTAAATAGCTTAATCTCTGAACACCCCGGCCGGGTCCAATCAACCTAAAATCATATATTATAACACTTTGGTGGATAATACCTATTGAATGTTTTGAAATAAAAAAATTATTTCTAATTTAGGTACAACAATATTATACAATTATACCTTTTAGGAAATACCATTGTTATTTTTGTAGTATAAGTTTTTATTTATTTGCTTTTACAAATTATATTATATTACGAGTTATGGTCGGGAAAGATCCTTTAAATTCAATAGGAAATTTCAGTCTTTTTTTTTTTTTAATGTTGGTTGAAGTACCCAATAGTCTAACGTACAACATAATTGGATGATTTTCGTTTTATCAAGAACCAAAATGCGTTTGTTTAGGTCATTTTTTGTCTACCTAAAACTGAATTTGGCTTCCACAACGTTTATTTATTTCTTTAAAAGTCTTCAAAGTTGTAGAAAACATTGTTTTGTGATATTTTCAGTGTATTCTACGTTTGACTCGTTTTCAAAATTGTTTTTTAAATAGAGTTTTTTTCATTTGCTAAATTCACAACAGGTATCAATTGAGTTGCTCGTTTTTTAACAGCTAGCAATAATAATTACAATATACTGTTCTAACTGCAAACGCCAAATGTACCTATGTAATATTATATACTTGTTTTGGGCACTATATTTAGGTAGGTATGAACAGCTATGCATTATTGTGTGCAGGGATAAATCTGTGCGTTCACCGTCTGAAACGCACACATAAAAGAGATCCCTATGTACAAATGTGGATATTTACATAATAATAATTATAATACAAGCGATATGCAAAAAACCCTCCGTCGGAAGTGCACACCAACTGTACTTGCTGGTATTGCACAAGTCTTGTGTGTATATGTCTATATATGTATATATTATACATAAAAATAATATAACGAATTGGGCAATAGCGCACCCGGTACGCACATGTGTATAATATATATTTTTTCACATCCCGGACACGAACCGGTGTGCTGAGTTTTTTTTCCCTCCTCTTCTCGGTCTGTACAATATATATATACTTACATATATTCAACGCCCCGCGAGCCGTTCCGGTTTTTCTTTTGTCTAGCCGACGTTTAGGGGTCCGAAGACTATGAATTTTTTTTTGGGGGGGGGGCAAAAAAAAACCCCAAGTGCTCGTGTACCGACGGGGGTCGAAGGGTACACACATATTAGACCCCTCTGGGCTGCTCTGTCGCCGCTGTATAGTATTTTACACATAATATTACAGCACCTAGGTGGAAAATATAACGGACATTTTGCACTTTACGAATTGTGTCACACATGCCCAGACCGTGTGTATAATAGGTACCTATTATTATTATTTTTTTTTTTTTTTTTTATAATATTACCCTCTTGTATGTGTTATAATATTATCATTATAATTATTGTTATATTATTGTGTGCGGCCGTGCACACGATGGGGTTCAGGTGTTGTATAATAGGTACATAGATTGTGCGCCCAGTGCTTTTGAAAATAAAAAATCAAAAAACCGTATTGTTTTGCCGCTGAATTCATCTGCTAACCGTTGAAGTGAACTATTATTTGGCGCGCAAAACCGAAATGGAATATACCTAGCTGTTGTAGTTAAAACAAAGTTGCTTTTATAAGAATTTTAATATAAAGCGCAGAAAATATGTTAGAAGCTAAATAGGCGAGTAGAGGGAGGGGGGTGATGGGACTTAAGCCAATCACACTTATTATACAGTGTGGTTATTATAATTATTGGAAAGCGAACACCTACATTGAATGTAACATGTATGTGATGAATAGTGCTGTTTGTGTAGGAACTACTAGGTATAGTTAGGAAATTCGTTAAAAAGATTTCTACTTTTATTACTTGACCGCATGAAATATCAGTTTATAAATGAATATATGTAAATAGTACCTAAAAATATATGATTTTTGTACCCCATCCAGGTATATGTGCAAACGAACAACGAGGGGCCTAAAATGCTATATATATGTATAATATAATGTCTTAAAATATTTACATGCGAATGCACATATTATACTACATAAGCGACGAGACGGCCGTTGGGTTGTTAAGAATTAAACAAAAAAAAAAAATTCTGAGAGTTGAGCAACGTTTTTCTTATTGTTATAATTTAAATAAGAAACCGTACCTACATAATATGTATAGTAATGCTATGGGGTGGCCACCCTTACACGGTTATACCCTCTGTGCTTGCCCTTGGGGATCTGGTTTTTGCACAAGTGTATACTGCGCACTGCGGTGACGTTAACAGTATATGGTACATTTATTATTATACAAAAATGGCTTATACAATGTAACAAAGCAGTGCAATATGATAATGAGATGCGACGTTGCTAAATTATTATAATATGGTCGTGGCCAGTTGTTGCCAAATGCTCATAACGTTTATTCTAAAACTAGTCCCCGCCATTTATATATATATATAGATTAAAAGATGTGCGCTTGTATACTTACAAGCACCACTGTTCAAGCTTTAGGTATATGTGTGCTAGTCAAACTTATTTCATTAAAGTCTCCGGTCTACAACAAAGCTGGGTCCATATATTGATAGTGTTCAAACTGAAAACAGCAAGAGGTAACCAAAAGGTATACATTGTACATGGTTTTATTTCCAATAAATCCACTGAAAAGTGATTATAAAATGTAATAACTACCAAAACACTGTCCAATCTGAGATAAAACACAGTAACTATACTTGTAGCATGTCCTGGACAATAAAGCAGTGTACCTAAGTTCAATAGAGATACAGCATATTATTGTTTTCTTAAAAAACTGATTTTCCAATTCATACACCGCGTTTTTAGGCACCAGATTTTATCGAGATACCAATCAGATACTTAGGCACTGACTATATGTTTATTTTAGTTTATTCATTCTATATTGTTATCAAATATTACTAACAACAGAATATACAACATTTTAACTGACAGAATATATAAGTAATCTTTATGGAGATACTGCGTTTTCTAAAGTTTATTTTATATTTTAATGGGTACACAATATCATATTCTAGAGACATAATATGCAGTATCTCTTTAAAAAGTAAAAATAATAAACTACTAAAAAAGCGAGGGAAAGTAATTATAATTTTAAAAGGGAAAAACAAAGAAATATATAAACTAACTTTCCCAACAATTAATTACACACCTACAGAATACAGGTTTGTAGAATAATAATATTATGTTAAGTATCATCAAGCTGTTCATGTTTTTGTTTATTATGTTTCTCTTAGCTTATATACCTATTCAGAATACCTCTAATAAATAATAATTCAATACCTCTAAGCACAATAAGAATAGCCTATTCTTATTGTGCTTTGAGGTATTAAAAAATAAATAAAAATAGTGTATATTTTAAAAAGTGTAAATCAAAAAAAAGATCACGGCGGCGGTGGCGGCGGCGGCCGACGCAGAAACGGAAATCTGCGTCCGAACCGGTTGCGGACGCGCGAGGGCACCGGCGGCCGCCATTGGTCCGCGCCATCGTCCGCCCTCCCATTGGCCGCCGGCCCGTCGCAGCACGTGCTGCGCGCACCCGGCGACGTCCACACCTGTCCCCGGTGGCCGCCGCCGTCTGCTGCACGGGCCGTCGGTGGCGGCGGCGGCGGTGGTGGTGGCACGACACCGTGGTGGGGAGGATACACCCGAAAATAGCCGTCCACCTTTCTCGAGCCGGTGGCTGCTGCGAACCACCGGCGCTCATTCTCTTCGGCGATCCACACCGGAGTGGTTTACCCAGCACCGCGGACCTGTCTCTTCGGCCGGTGATTTCGACGCCGGTGCAAAACGCATACGAACAAAAAATATATATTTACAGTTTTGATTTTTTCGAAAACACAGTTTTATTACAAGTCGTGTGTGTGTGTCCGATATAGTGATTCGATATAGTGTGTGTTAATAATTGAACAAAATACCCGTTTCGATTGTACTATGCATATTTGGGACGACAAACCCGTTTCGATCATGCACCACAAAGTAACCGGCAAAAAGATGGATTACTCGCACTGTCCGCTGAAAAAGCGACCCGTCCACTACGACAGATACGTCAAGGACGAGATGGATTTCGGTTAGTAAAAAAAAACAAATATACATAATCTCTATCTTGTAGCCACAAACATCCACTTGCCGAAAAAAAGGGGGACGCGCGACCGTTGCGACCGTGGGAAAAACCCTGACGGCGAGCGACCCTCCTAGTCGACCGTTTTTGCAAAACACCCCTCTTGCAATAGACCCCCTAATATAATTATTATTTGCACTATAATAGTAAATATACACATCACTGATTGTACACGATATATTATATTATGTACTTATATGGCACTATTATAGTCAAACCGCCATATTTTCTATTATTATATTTAGCCTAGATAAACATATTACCTATAGATTAGACGAATCGAAATAGTTGTACTTACCTACCTACATGTTGGGTATAATGTTATGAACGCAGCACATTTTGAACGTGCATCGCTAATGCTAGCGATTGCCGGTAAAAATATTAATATAATTATTTGTGACATTTAAATGACGTTGATGATAAAAAAATATACATAATATACACAAACCGGTGTAGGTACACGACCTTCGGACATTGCCTCGACTTATCTTGGGTGTATATTAATTAATTTGCGGTCGTTATAATATTATGTATACCTACTATAATATTACCGCTATCGCTTCACTTGCAATTTAAAATTCAAAAACACACAGTTTAAATCCATTTTCAACCGTTAAATTTTATAATTATTTTGAGTCAAATAATTGAGCTTTAAAATTATGTATTTTTAATTTTTTTTTTTTTTCTTTACAGAAACCGCACAAGACTTGACCGAACCCGAAAACCTGAGCACCAAGCCCCAAGACTTGAGCGTCAAGTGCAAACCGTCGACGGTGACTTTGCAAGATTCCAAAAAAGAAGTACCGTTCGGTCACCACCAGTTACCGGTACAACCGTCGCCGTACCACCACCATCCGTACCAGCCGACGGCCATCAAGCCGGGCCCGCTGGAACCGCTCTGCCTGAACATAGCCGCCGGCGGCGACCACCCCGGCGGCGTGGGCTATCACCACCACCACAACAACAACAACAACAACAACAACCACTATCACGGTCCCGCCGTGCCGCGTCCCGTGCCGGCCCAGTACCCGCCGGCGGCGTACCCGTTCGGTTACATGTACCACGGACTGTCGGCCGAACGAGCGTACCCGGTGTACTCGCACGGACTACCGCCGCCGCCGCCGTCCGCCACGCACTTGCCGCAATCGTGCGTGGCTCGCGACGCTTCACTGTCGCCGCCCGGCTCGGCGTACTCCGCGTTCAAGCCGCACGTGCCCGGCGCCGCGTGGCAAAGCCGCGGCTCGGACGGTTGGTCGCCGTCCACCGTGACCGAGACGTCGTCGCCCGCCGTGTCGCCGTACGGCGCCCAGTCCAGCGAGAGCGACACCGCGTCGTCGGCAGCCACTACCGCGACCGGCTCGACGGCCGCCGGCAAGTCGGGCGCGGCACGGTACAAGTGCGGCTCGTGCGCCAAGACGTACTCGACCGTGTCCGGGCTGACCAAGCACCAGCAGTTCCACTGTTCCGACGACGAGTGCGGCAACGGCGGCGGCTCGCCGAAAACGTTCAGCTGCAAGTTCTGCGACAAGGCGTACAACACGCTGGGCGCGCTCAAGATGCACATCCGCACGCACACGCTGCCGTGCATATGCAAGCTGTGCGGCAAAGCGTTCAGCCGGCCGTGGCTGCTGCAGGGGCACATCCGCACGCACACCGGCGAAAAGCCGTTCTCGTGCCCGCACTGCAACCGGGCGTTCGCCGACCGGTCCAACCTCAGGGCGCACCTGCAGACCCACTCGGACGTGAAGAAGTACTCGTGCCCGACCTGCAGCAAAACGTTCAGCCGCATGTCGCTGTTGACCAAACATTGCGACACCGGATGTCCGCGGCTGCAAGTGGCCGACAGCGGCCTGCACCACCATCAGCTCCACAACGTATCGCCCCCGCTGGCCCATTGACGGGACGGCCGCATATGCGTCGTCCTCATACTATTGATTCTTGCCACCAATTATTATTATTATAACTATTTATTTATTGTAATTATTATTATTTGAATTTTTTTTTTCCATGTAATACTTATAATGCTTTATTTTTTTTTTTACATCTACTTCGTACTAGTCACTTTTTACATATTTATTTATTTATATAATAAATAAACAACTGCACTGTATTAGGACATAAGGTTAATATTATAGTTATTATAATATATATATTAAACATTATTATTAGGTATTATTATTATTATTATTATTATTATTGAGCCATATTTATTGTGCATGATATATGTATGTTGAGAACTAGTCGCCGTTTATACTGTTTTATACCCCATGTCGGATTCGGCCATTATATTGTGTATTATTATGATAATTTAAAAAATATATATATTTTTATATTATATAATGTATGCCATTTTTTTTTTTACTTAATTGCATATACTGTGTTTTTCCTCTCTAACTGCGAATTTAATAGATAAAATTTATATATTATAATATTGTTAAATACATTATATCATACGATTAAGTTTTTTATTAATATAATATCTCTTTTTTTTTTTTTACAACAAAATTTCAAAATTGTTAGATATTTTATCCTACAACGTACCTACTCTTGGACAACAATGTTAGATAGGCATATATATATATATATATATATATATATATATACATCAAATGGTACTTAACACGAATATATTATACAGAAAGCTTGTCGATCAGGCTACCCCCGGATCTGCTCGGGCTTCAAAAAAAACATTTAAAACTTAAAATCAGTTCAATTCGAAAACAGGTACCTACCATTTTCCCAATACAATAATTCAGGAGACAGGTTATGATATTATTATTCTTATCTAATCAACGATGCTGTTGCCTACCTACCTACCTGTTGAGCACCTCCTCCTCCTGTCTGGTAGTATAGCTATACCTGTACCTAATAATATAATATAGGTAATACAGTGTGTGCTGTTGTGGGCGGTGCGTACATTCGTATATGTGTGTATATAGTAGTAATAATAACAAACACTCGTGGGAAAACGGATGTGTAAACGCAAATACTATGATATTATATATATATATATAGGTTAGGTGGTAGCCCGGTTTTTATACATAATATAATATTATAACACATACCTATAGTGCACCGACAATGGTAACGGGTACCTGTTCTGGTTGTTTGTCGGGTCAGTAGCGATTTATACTTACCTATGTATACATATTATATACCTACAAGAAGAAAAAGGAGTCCATGAGAATCAAAAAAAATCACACACACACACACACTGGTCCACGGTTCTCATCAATCTGCAAAAACACCCCACCACCCCTCGGAACGGGTTCCCATAGGTCACACACGTATGAAATATATGGGCAGGAGGAGGAGGAGGTTTTTTTTGATTTTTATAAGGTGTACCTGACGTTTGACAATATTATGCACCTCTATGTAAGGCGGTCGGTCGTGAGAAGGAATGCTCTTCCTGGGAACACAATATCTCATATATCACTATTGAGAACGGCTGGACATACACAAGTGTTTAAGATAGGAATAGCAACAAAAAAGAATCATTTTAATTATATCTAATTGAATCATTTTTACCGAAACTTGGTAGACAAAAAGCGCCGGCAAGTGCCGTGCATTGAGTGTGTCGGTCGAGAGGGTAAAAACGAGCAGGTCGAGTACAGAACAATATATGGTCCAAAGACGAACACCATCAATTACAAGGGTTGATAATTTTTAAAAAAGGTCTTAAACGGTACACTCTGAGGTGGGCGTAAAAGCGTTACAGAACTTTGCCCCCGTGGCCGGTCCGTGGACTTTCCAACGAATTCGGAATTACCCAACACCTACCCCATAATATATAGTATAAGTACCTCCCCTATTGCCGCACAGAGATAATTGAAACGTGCGGGTATATAATTACACGTGCCACAACGAGCCGTCGTACTTAAGTGTACAAGGGCCGTTTTGATGTTTTTTTTTTTTTTTTTTAATTTAATTTGTATTCTGTAATTCCCAATTGCCTTTGTGGTGCCGCATGCGGGGATCAAACCGACCGGAACCGCACACAACTTGCCACCCTTCAAGTACAATGTGTGATCAATACCGTATGATCTATAACGCAGCGCTATATAATATTATGAACAGGCCAAAAAAATTATTGTAATATTATTTCACGTTTTTTTTATTGGGGTAGGCGCTTTTTGTATAGCAATTACGGCATTAGGTATATTGTTTTTCAATCGAATATCATATTATGGTTTAATAGTGTTACAATACCGTGTATTAAACGACCAAGTCCGGTGTTGTAATTATTATATTGTAAGTACTGCGTACTATATTATTGCACCCGCATATGGGTGTCTGCTGTCGTCGGTTCTTTGCACATTAACAAAATATAATTGTATGATATTATATTTAACAGCATTGTCACGCTGCCATGTTCAGAACACTTGGGACATATAACAGGTTAAGATGGGTTTTTATTTAATTTAACCAAGATCAATTTTCGAAATTCTATGAAAATATATTTTGTATTTTTCGAACACCGTCCGTCGTTGCAGATTGGTCGTACATAATTCAACGGCACCAATTATTATTACAATTATTATTAACTCGGGTAAATCGTCGGATAATCGACCCACGCCAGCAGCAGCAGCAGCCAACCTTATAAGCCGTTGCCTTAATGAGTTTTCTCGTTTTCCCGGAAGACCGGGGCTTTTCGAATAATAATTATTATTATTATATTGAAATATCCTTTCCGGTGAAATGTATTAATTTTCCCAATGAAAAACGTTCACAAAAAAAAATAATCACACTGCCATTCTAGGCAACGTTCACGCGGTAATTTAAACGGCACGTGCGACCACCCCCTTTACCTTTACCTCCCCTGAAAACTTTCCCCGCCAGAATGTATTTGGCGTTAGCTACGTTTTTATTAAACCCAAACGGGCCGAATCCGTCAACATTATGATATTGTTATTTATGTTGTATTGGCAATGGCTTTTCCAATAAACAGTCTGCACAAACGTCAAACTCGACAAGTACACATTGTTTGAGTTATAAACGAGCCAGTATAGGTACTACCGTCGAGTCGGAAGGCAAGTTAGTTGTTCCTAAACGTTATGAGTTTTAAAAAAACAGTTTTAAGACACTTATGTTTGGTCTAAAGGGTAGATAAAAAAACAAACGGTATTTATTGATTTACAAGAATTTATTGATTTAAAAACACACATTTTCCTGACAGCTTTTGTTTGAGAAATGTAACAATTTTTTTGTGCCTGCGTTAATAATTGTCGAAAATCTACTCAAGTCTACTTGTCTTACACGTGTAAGGTTGTGCAAAATAGAATGCCACGTTAACAATTAAATATTGTCGGATATCGAGTAGGTGGTAATTGTAAGGTTTCCCGCCACGTCGTATGCGAAGCCCAAATCGTAGAACCATTTGCCCAACGCGGTGTCAACGCAATGGTCGATTTGGTGCTGTACATATTGCAACTTGGTAGTTTCCTGCGGTATCAGCTTGTCCTTTTTTTTGGACGTAAAATGCTCCATAGAAGTTTCTGCGGACAGTTCTTCGTGTGCCGGAACTTGGCAATGGCGGTTGGTAAAATACTTCAGGTTCTTGTTGAATACTTCCAATAGAAATTCCGTTATGGATTGGATTTCCAGTTCGACCGCAGCCGCGTTCGTACCCGTGTTACCTTGCCGGGACAATTTCGACAACGTCCTCGGCCAAATGCTCGCACAAAACTCTGCCAATTTTCGCGTGGCTATCATTACACTGTGCTTGGGTCTGGACTGAGGACGCAGCGAGTAGACCAGGTCCAACACGTCAGCCATGTACTTAAACAACGGCCACATGCTGTGCAGTTTGGTCAGCAGCGAATGGAAGCAATCGTAGTAGCTGTTTTCGTTGGAAGTTTTGGAAGTCTTACCCGTTTTTTCGGTCCGGCAAACCCGTATAAACTGTTGTAAGACAGCCCTGTACTTGAGAATGACTTCGGCGTACTTGCACATGAGCACGGTCCAGATGTCTTTGTATCTCAGCAACACGTTTGATTCGTCCACCGGCTTCCGGTTGCTGGACACGGCTTCGAGTATTTCCGCCATGGCGTTGGCGGGCATACGAGTATTTTTATTAATTATAATCTTAACGTCACCCATAGACCGCCATCCCGGATGTTGCACCAACGTGTTTAGGTGGTTGGCCAGTTGAGATTTTTGCAATTCGCTCAAATCTTCGGCCAAAACCCGTGTAGACCAGTGTACAGCCACCCAAACTACTAGTGTTGTGATCGACGACGTTTGCCAATGCATTATCTTAGCACAAAAATAAAACCGTGACACACAGAAGCACTGTTCGATGAAAAACTTTAACTAAAGACCACAGTGTTTGAAAAATGTAATTACAATTTTTATTAATATAATTGATTTGTTTAAACACATGCCAAAACAGCTATTTGTCATTGGTGATCTTGATTTAGGCGGAGGAGTTTAATTATTTACCTCCGTCTTACCTTAAAGAAATTATTTATTAGCATGTGTTCGATTTTGTACTCGCCAGACGTGGGCTAATAAATTTGCAGATAAAAAATGTCGACTTTTGTTTAGTCTACTACTTCGAGTATTTAAGAAGATGTTCACGGTGGACGAAATAAATAATAATAAACAGACTCGACATTTTTGAATATAAATTCAACATAAAAATAACATAATAGTCAGAAACATAAATGGCATTTATGTGTGTTATAAACTATAATGATTTCAGTGCAAATTCCCCGAACCTTGTAGCTACCTCAGAATTTTATGAAATGGATCTTAAGGTTTTTAAACGTTCAAAATATAGCACTATTGTGAAGATAGGTCTATTATATAGCATAACTTGAATATAAAAATATATAAACAAATCTGTCGTCAACATTTCTTTTTATCGTCAAAATTCGTATCATTCGTTGTCCTAATTTGATCTTCAAAAAACTTCAAATCAAATTAAAAGATTTTAGTTGTCTGCAAGTTTTGCGCCATAACAGTCTTACTAGTAATAAAAAAAAAACAAAAAAGTAGATATTCTATTTAAGATACACTATAGTTTACACTTGTAAGTCCCTATGTTGCATTATTGATTATGTTATATTATATTTATCTAGAAAAAACTTTAACAACAATGTATATTTAAAACCCTTGTCAAAGGTAAATATCGATTAATTTCTAACACAAACTAGTAGGTAACGCTTATTTTTGAAATACAATAGTTTTCAAGCGAGGTGTTGTAGAATTTCACTCGGATACAGATTGACCTGTACTAGCGGCTAATCGAGATGAATGGAGATAGTTGTGTTCGATCCGTAATAATAAAATAAAACAATGCTATTTAATAATTTATCGGCTTTAAAGCACATATTTTCCTA